TTGGGACACAGTTCAGATCATAGGAAGTTGAATTCTTCAATCTCGTCTGTCGGAGGTAACCTGGGCTGAGTGGGATACTTCCAAGTAGTTAGAGGGAAACACTCGGTTTGTTACTTTTATTTTAAAACGAGAAAAAAAAAACCTGCACTGGGGTGTTGAACCCACGTCTTCTGCGTGTTACAGCGAGGACCCCCAACAGCATCAGGCTTCATCACATTCATGCGACCCCATCTAATGAGAGTGATTTTCCCCTTAGAGAGACGGAAACGCCACCTTGGATGTGTGCTGGGGTTTTGGGGTTCTGTCTGACATCAAACAGTCACCGTGTTCTTTAGATGGATTCATGAAAAGGTTCATGGGGTGAGGGGCTTTACTAATGAAATGTCGGTGTTCTGTGAGCCTTTTGAGGAGGTTTTAACCCCTGAGTGGGGGAGTGGGTATGAGTGGACCCACAGACATAATCGTGAACAGCTTGTCCACAGACAGACAGACAGACAGACAGACAGACAGACAGACAGACAGACAGACAGACAGACAGACAGACAGACAATAAGACAGACAGACAATAAGACAGACAGACAATAAGACAGACATGTATTAAGCTAGTTCAATATACGAAATCTGCTAGGAATTCAAACCTGGGTTACCCGTACTGTAGATAAACTGAAACTCAACACTAATGTGAACGGGATGTTACCACATGCGCTGAAGTGTTTGCAAATCCTGCACTTATTTGGCCTACACCTCTATAAAACAGCATCGTGCGTACAAGCATGGTTTATTTAATGGTTTCTATTTTTACTTTTACTCACACCTGGAAAAACAAGGTGAAATTATGAATGGCTTGCAAATCGTAGCTCGGTGAAGCCATTTGTTTTGTTCAGAGTTTGTGTGTGTGTGTGTGTGTGTGTGTGTGTGTGTGTGTGTGTGTGTGTGAGTGTGTGTGTGTGCGCGCGCGCGCGTGCGTGTGTGTGTAATTGTAAGTGTATTTGTGTGTATGTGTGTTTTTGTGTTTGTGGGTGTATTTGTGTGTCTGTTTAGATTGGGGTTTTTTGTTGTTGTTGTTTATTTTGTTGGGGGGGGGGGGCTTATCTACTAATTCTTTAATAAGAAAAAAGATAGTATTTGGGATAGAGGAGTCGGGAGGGGATGTCTTAGTAGTTCTCTTAAGCAATTACTCAATGTATCGGAACTGAAACCAAAACTTCGTTGGTTCTGGCGCCTGTAGTAAAATGACTAAGCTCTAGCCCTTTGTCCCAAGAAGATGTGACTTCGATTCCCGAAAGGGGAGTGGTTTTGTTTGTGGTTTTTATGTTTTGTGCACCAATGTGTGGCTTCGATTCCCGGAAGGGAAGGAGTTTTGTTTGTGGTTTTTATGTTTGACATTTAATACGTGTCCATTGCACCAATGTTAATACACTCGAATACAAACGCAAACACACTTTTGGGTTTCTTTGATTTCACCCAATTTTGTCGAGCATGATTTTTAAGGCCAATTTGATTGACTAGATCTCGAGCGACTCCTGTCATAGATGAAAAAGTATTAATGTGTCAAATGATGCAGATTTAGCTTTAAATTGGTATTCTGCATGACTGGGTAGTGCAAAGCTGGGTGAATACATTTTCAAATTTCCTCTGGACGCCACTGTATATATACCTAGCGTTGTAATTGTATCATTCTTGTGAGCTCTTCAGTTGCATACGTTAATTTTAATTTTCATATTTTTACACTTTTGAAAATGTATGAATGTTCCATGGTGTGAGTAAAAGAATGAAGATGGAAGTGAATTTTTTAAAATTATTTCAAAAATATAAAATAAATTAAATGTACTTTGTGAACTTAAAGTCTGATACTTGGCATTGTATCATTCTTATGAGCTCTTCATTTTCATAATATGTTCATTTTAATTTTAATCTTCATATTTCTACACTTTTGAAAATGTATATGAATGTTCCTTGATGTGAGTAAAAAAAATTAAGACGGAAGTGATTTTTCTTTTTTATTTCAAAAATATAAGATATTATCACAATCTTAAGATTGCCGCGCAATTATACGATCGTTAAAACGCTCGGCGCTAAGATTGCGAATATCGGTAAATTGCGCGATATGTGTATATATATATATATATATATATATATATATATATATATATATATATATATATATATATATATATATATATATATATATACATAAAATATTAATGTGTCAGATGGTGCAGAATCTATTTAGCTTCATTCAATTGGTGTGCTGCATGAGTGGGTAGTGCAAGACTATAAGACGACTATTGGGTGATTGCATTTTCAAGTTCCTTTCTGACGCCACTGTAATCTGTACATATTACATTGTGAAAGTCCGTCACTTTGGCCGCCTAAAATTTCCGAACCACTTAACTTTCGAATATGACTAAACTGACGGTGGTTCAGAATCATTTAAAGGGTGCGCAGTTTTATTGAGGAGTCTGAAGTCGCTGTAGTTTAATTTTCAGTTTTTTGTTCGTTTCGCTTAGATCTAATCTTGGGAAAGCCCGTCTTCTTAGACGCCCGTTGTGAACAAGCGAGGCTTCCGTTCACTTGCTGTGCGCACTGTTTCCACAATGACATGATGTTCGACGATTCTTTTAAGTACATTCATCAAACGTGTACCCAGCCAGTCAAATACATATGTGTGTGCGTGTGTGTGTGTGTGTATGTGTGTGTGTGTGTGTGTGTGTGTGTGTGTGTGTGTGTGTGTGTGTGTGTCTGTGTGTGTGTCTGTGTGTGTGTGTGTAGGCTGAAGTCTCAAAATCAAAAATGTTTAAGGGGGCTCTCGTGACGTAGAGGTTAAGGTGTTTGCCTCTGTTTCAAAAGATCTCGGGTTCGAATCCAGTTAGTGACGGGTAAATTTTCTTATCTCAGATTTTCTCCTTCTACATCCTTTCCTGTTCTCTAACAATGTTCTGTCGTCTGCTTTTCGTCTCCACTGTCTGCCCCACCACCTCACCTCCTTTGTCCCCTCCTCTGGACTCCTGACTCTTTCTGCAGCCTTTCTACTGCTTGGCTTCTTCTTACTGCTGTCTTTCAGCCACACCATTGATCTTTTGGTAGGTAAGATCTACACCTAGTCTTCTCGGACAAGGGCGAAAAATCTCGGAGGTCCCGTGGGCAAGTTGCGCACGTTAAGGATCCCATGGTGGTCGAAAATTGATAAGAGTAGGCTTCGGCCGCCACCCGGGCAAAATTCAAAATTTCATACCAACTGAAAATGTTTGGTATGTGCCGCGCGCTCATATGACCTTATGTGTTTGCGAGGTCCGTTAAACACTTACCCAAAAAAAACATGTTTAAAGGACAATTTAAAGGACAATGCAAGAAAACAGGCAATAGTACACACCCTAGTGCGCTTTGCTCATTAGAGTTGTTGGAATGGTGCTAATGGCATCGGTTCAAATTTCTATGAAAAGGGGTGGTGGGGTGAGTCTTGAACTTTGCTTGCTGTGTGCAGTTTCCACAGCGTGCCACCCGCTTGATTGAAGCAGAACGGACGCAAACAACTGCAGGAGATGGAGACTTTGAGACGTTGTTGAAGTTAAAGGAGCGTGACCCTTTAAAACGGGACTTGTGAGTCTGATCACGAGCAGACCAAAGGCAATGGTGCAGCACGTATAGCACTGTCATACACGCTGTATCAGAAAAGCGATTTTTTATATTTCACAGTTTGCAAGTTATTATCTGCATTTTTAAATTCCAGATGAAGAAAACAGAACTGGGAGGAAAAAAATAAAAATTAGATCTAAATGGTGTATATATGAATGACGGAGTTCTGCTTTTCTCGTTTCTTTTTGCTTTTTGTTTTGTTTCGGGTTGTTGGTTTTCTGTATTGTGTTTGTTGTTGTTGTTGTTGTTGTTGTTGTTGTTGTTTGGGGGGGGTTTTGGGGGGGGTTTTGGGGGGGTGTTGTTGTTTTTTATGGTGTGGGGTTGTAGTTGTTTTTATTTGGGGGTTTGTTTGTTTTTTGTTCTTGTTTCGTTTTGTTTTTGCAAAGTGCCCCAGAACAGTGGGTCTTCAAGCGTTATCAAATGATCAGAAAGCCTGCCCCGAATGAGTTAAACCAACACAATTACACTCGACCGATTACAGGCCAACTGTATGTTCTGTGCAACGCTTGACCTCTATCTGTTACGTATGCAGAACGGACACAAACAACTGCAGGGGTGATTGTAATCTCCGCACAACAACCCTCGCTTGTGTTCTTGATTACCCTACCATTTACCGCGACAGATGGGCTGGTTTTCAGGGTCAGCTTAAGCCCTGCGTCACCCTGACATGACCTTTAAAACTGCCATCTCTAACAAAACCAGACATGATTACGTAATATGCCAGATTCGTGGGGGGGGGGGGTTCATTTCATGTGTAGTCATATTTATGTCATACTTTTTTTTACACTGTTTTGATGCGTAATCGCTAAGCTTTCCTGTTATATTTTTCTTATTGTTTCCTTTTTTTTTAAATTCAGACAATTTGTTTGTTTCGGGATTGTTTCGTTTCATCTCTGGGACAACCGTAAGTAATTTCAGAAAATCATTATCATCATTATTATAATCCGTGCGCAGGACATCCTGAAGGACGAACTTAAATACCGGAAATATCCCAGCATGGCAGGTCTCGCTTTGTAATTGGACCACCCCCTGGCAACCGAATGGCAACTTCTTCATTAAAGCGGTCTACAGTAAACAACGTTGTTTTGTTATAAAAACCTCTCCACTCGGTGTCCACTTCAGTCTATAGATAACTGGACGCTACGACTCATACCTACCTCCATCCATTAGATAGTTCATTCTCTTACTTTCGTCCATGAAAGCTGCTCGTAGCTTTGTTGCCGTGTCCAACCCTGCTGAAAATAAAGTTACCACTGTAGAGAATTGTAAAGATGTCCCGCTCCCTGAAAACATGGACAATGTGCCTCTGCTTGCTTTTCTGCATATTTAGTTCGGGCCTGACTTACAGTTATCCCCCGGAGAGACAGGAAGACTGCGAGGAAATTTGTGAGCTCATGGTACGTTTCTTATGTCTTGTTTTCTTTCTAACTTCCAGATCGTGCATGATGATAGATAGATAGATAGATAGATAGATAGATAGATAGATAGATAGATAGATAGATCTGTCCAAGACTCCAAATCTGTATTCAGATAATTTGATTATGTCGATACAGGAATAAATTGGTGTAATGGTAGGAGTGGAGGCGTTAGGTCGGACGGTACAAAGTAGACAGGGAGGCGAAGAGAGGAGAAAAAGAGTAAGCCTGATCAGGGTACACAACGTCAACTTATCTGGACTCAAACACGTATTTTGAAAGACCAGACTGAAATACGAGGGCTGTCCCACGGAAAACCGGAAAAGGTCCATAAAAGCAACAATCTTTGTCCGATTATAATAAAAATGTAACACATCATACCTCAACATGTGCTTTATTTCTCAATGTAATCACCATCCCGCTGGACGCATTTTTTCCATCGCTGGATGTGGGAGAAGATACAGTCCCTGAAGAATTTTTCGTCAAGGGATTTCAACCAATCTTTCACGGCTTCCACGAGGTCTTCGTCGTCGGTGAATCGCTGTCGAGAAATATGGTGTTTTATTGGTCCAAAAAGGTGATAATCTGACGGGGCCAAGTCAGGACTGTGAGGTGGGTGTGGCAGAACTTCCCAGCCGAACCTTTGGATCCAGTCTTTCGTAGCGTTTGCGGTGTGTGGCGTTGCGTTGTCATGCTGCAAAATGTCTGAGACACTTCAACACGACGCGTCTTGTGGTCAGCTGTCAGCTCTTTTGGGACCCATCGAGCAGAGACCTTTCGATAGTGCAGCTCATCAAACACTATCCTATGGACAGTTGACTTTGAAATGTTTAGCGACTCGGAAATTTCGCGAATTTTTAGGCGCCTGTCTGTTTGAATGAGTTCGTTAACGCGACTCTTGTTGTCCTCAGTCTTGGCAGAAGAACAAGGTCCTGGGTGAACTTTGTCATTGATATCCGTATGCCCGGCTTTGAACTTACTACTCCACTCATATACCTGTGTCTTTGCCATTACTTTCTCCCCGTAAACTGACTTTATTTCAGCGTGTATTTCTATAGGTTTGAGACCTTTTGCGGTCAGAAACCGAATGACAGATCTCACTTCTATCCTTGACCAATTTTCCAAGTGGGTAGCCATCTTTGGAGAACTGCTGTGTTCGTTTGGTTTGTGCGATGCTCATGGTGTTCAATCGGGAAATTCCAATACAATTGTTTTACAAGTGTGCGTTTACAGAATGTGAAAATATTGAATAGTTTTCAAATTACAGCCAAATTCCGGTTTTCCGTGGGACAGCCCTCGTAGATTTTCTGTCAAAGGATAAAACCAATCAAAACACACACGCACAGACACACAGACACACAAACATACACACACAAACACACAAACACAAACACACACACACACACACACACACACACACACACACACACACACACACATACTTACATACACACACTGTATGTATGTATGTATATATATGCATATATTATATCTATTTTTTTAATTATTACTATTGTATACGGTTGAAAGAAAAAACTTATTGAGCTCTTCATTTCAATGAATCTGTTTAATTAGAATTTTTACTCAAACGTTAATTTAGATGTTAGTGTACAAACGTCGACTTTCTTTAAATAATTGCTGCAAAAACCTGGCTCAAATTCTCTACATCAAATTTACGTTTTCATTTTTTTTTTCGAAGTGATCGATTTTTAGAGGATGTCACCATTCCAAAATTTCTGGGTCAATTTTTTTTAACTTTTGGTTTTGAAGATTCCAAAATTCCAATCTGAATACGTAGATCTAATAATTTTTTTGACTTTAAGTTGCGGAATTATTATTATTTTTTTTTTATTTTTTTTTTTTTTGGGGGGGGATGTCTGTCAAACTGTATTTGAATGAAGAATGGGTAAAAATTAGTTAGCAAAGTCTTCTATTAACTCTTTGATTTAGACTATCTGATCCAAATGGTTTCTCCTTAATCTGACTATAATGCGATGGAATAAGTTTGGACGCACATAAAAATTTGAGCAAAAATTATTTGGCCAAAATTCAAGCGCGCTCTCTCTCTCTCTCTCTCTCTCTCTCTCTCTCTCTCTCTCTCTCTCTCTCTCTCTCTCTCTCTCTCTCTCTCTCTCTCTCTCTCTCTCTCTCTCTCTCTCTCTCCTCATTCATCATCATCAGTCTTTTTCACACTGTGTATGAGCCACCAACATGAACTCTCCTTATCCCCTCCTTTGCCCAGATGTATCCCATCTCCTGCACATTGGAATCAAAGTCTCCAAGCACTCTCTTTCTTGCATTTTTTTAAGCAGCTGTTGATAAATGTCTGCAGCCTATCTTAAATTTGTTTTGTAAATTTCCATTTTTTATTCCATAGAGCAGTGCACTTTTGACTCTAGTGTTGGAAATCCTGTATTGGTTTTTGTTCCTTTGATTCCTGACTTCCAGGTTATGTTTCTTAGTTGTATGAAAACACCGCTTGCCCTGCCTATTCTTGTCTTTACATCTACGTCTAGCCTATTCCTTTAGCGTTGTCTATAACTATTATGCTATATTGTGGCGTCTGTGGCCTAGTGGTTCGGCTCTCGGACTCACAACCGTAAGGTTGTGGGTTCGAATCCAGTCAGGAGCAAGACATTGTGTCCTTGGGAGAGGCACTTTACGCGAATTTTTACTCACTTCACCATGGCGGAAATGAGTACCCGGTTAGAGACAGCGAAAGATCTTGTCAGCTTTTTGTGTTTGAGCGCACGAATTTTTACAGCTTGCACTGTAGGCTTCCCGGGAAGTTGAGAATGTTTCTTAGTGTCTTGGATATGCTGGGGTGGTAATTGTTGTAACGCACACAGAGCAGGTCATAGAGCGTAGATATGCGCCTATATAAATACAATATTAATTTAACTAAGTAAGTGAAGGCATTAAATTCCTATTCTAAAATTTGTCGATGAGGGTTGTATAAAACGTCTGCAATTTCCTTTTCTGCAGATGGCGCAGTGTTTTGCAGACGAGGTGTGTGGAGACAGTGTGGTGTGCCAGATGAGCTGTCACGAGAGAGCCTCTTCTTGCTACAGCCGATGTGTGCTCCGATTAGACAGTGAAGGGAAAATACACATCGAGAGGCCCGTAGCTTCCGAGAACACGTAATGGGTTTGATTTTTTTTAAGGCGAAATAAAATCTGTAATCAAAAGAAAACATGTGAGCAATACTTTTGAATTGTTGTGGTTATGTTTCAGTTTCGTTCGTTTGTTTTTGTTTGTGATTTTTGCTACTATGTAATAAATGAAGAAATGGATGTCTGCCAACTTGATGATCTACATGACGGACCATGGCCTGCCTAAGCTGTGTCAATTGTTTGCTTTGCTTTGCTTGCTTTTGTAAAGTGTTTTACGGCCCTCGCAACTGCATAAGGTCATATGAGCGCGCGGGACACACGTAATATTTTCAGTTGGTTGGAAATTTTGAATTTTGCCCGGGTGGCGGCCGAAGCCTACTCTTATCGATTTTAGACCACCAAGGGATCTTTAACGTGCGCAA